TTTTTTGCGGTACACGGGCCTCTCACTGTCGTGGCCTCTCCCGTTGCGGAGCACAGGCTCCGGACATGCAGGCTCAGCGGCCATGGCCCACGGGCCCAGCCGCTCTGCGGCATGTGGGATCCTCTCGCACTGGGGCACGAACCTGTCTCCCCTGCATTGGCAGGCGGACTCTCAACCCCTGTGCCACCAGGGAAGCCCAATAAAGTATTTTTTAATTAAAGTATATATGTTGGTTTTTTTAGACATAATGCTGTTGCACACTTAATAAACTACAGTACAGTGTAAACATAACTTTTGTATGCTCTGGAAAACAAAAAAATTCATGTGACGTGCTTTATTGCGATATTCGCTTTATTACAGTGGCCTGGAATCAAATGAGATGTGCCTGTATTTGGTCATATGAAATTGATATTGTGATTTTAATGACTTGCTGAGGAATGAAGTTTGAAAAATATTTTATAAGCCTGTTTAAAATACAAAGAAAACCTATGAACTTATTTCCAGATGTTAAACAATTGCTGAAAGTTTATTAATAATTTAGAATATTTTGTGATACTATAATGACATTACGATCATACTTTTAATTCTCTTAGCGTTGGAATGTCACATGTAGAAAATTGTTACATTGTGGCATAATTACTCTCATTATTATGATATTTGAAACCCTAAGTATTATGTATTCAACCCTAGGCATGTTGCTTGAAACTCCCCTTGGAGTAAAATGTTTAAAATATGCCTAGAAGTCAATTCTTTTAGCCACTTTTCCTCCCCCCAAAGCTTAATTGCCTTTAAAGTTGAAGAGAGACAGTTTGCGATAGAGAGTACCTCTGAGTTTAAGTTCAGTGTGTCACATTGCTTCCTCATATAAATGAAGTTATGTTTTTAAATTATAAAACCAGATCATGTATTCATAATTTTAAAATGAGTTGTAGGATTTTTAATCTGTATTCTTGGATATATAACAATTCTTTGGATAAAGATTGTACCAATAGGAATTGTCAGTCATGGTTGCGTGTCAGTTTTTCCTCGATCAAGGTTTTTATTTTAATTACTTAAAGTCTGCTTGTACAATTTTTTTAAAAAACAAAAGGTTCCACTTCCTCCTAATGGACAGATGCCAGGATTTGGCCTTCTTCCTACACCTCCATTTCCTCCCATGGCTCAGTCCGTGATTCCTCCAACTCCACCCGTGCAGCAGCCTTTCCAAACTTCCTTTCAGGCACAAAGTGAACCACTTACACAAAAGGCACATCAGGTAAAACTTCATTCTCAGATTGTTGATTATCTGTATGGTTCCCTTGATTTATAAATAGATTGCTGCCTGTTGGCTTGTTATCTTCCATTTTGAATATGAAGAAAGACTATTACTCTGCGCACAAATTTGCCCTCTCTGTGACTGAAGTTTTTCATTTGGAAAGTGGACATAATACTACAAATTTCCATACGGTTTGTGAGGATTGAGATAGAGTATAGAATGTTTAAACAGTGCCTAATTCACTGCTTTAGGTGATGGTTGGTAAGCACAGTATGTAACTTTTACGAAATAATTTCCAGAAGTAGATCAGTATTTCTTCTAATCTTGTAAACCATATAAAAAAAAACTTCTCCCACTAGTGGCCAGTCATTATTAAACTAGTAATAACCAAAAGAGAACTTTCAGGGCAAGAGATTTGTAATTTAGCATTTTTTAGATTTTTGTCCCATTTTTTTCTATTTATAATTTCCACTTTCTCTTTTAATGATGGGTTTTGTGTTTTGTTTTTCTTTTTAAAGGAAATGGAAGTAGAACAACCTTGTATTCAAGAGGTTAAGCGGCACATGTCCGATAACAGAAAGTCAAGATCTAGATCAGCATCCAGGTAGTTTATAGAAAATGTTAATCCAAATCTGTATGTCTTAGGAGCCATAGAATTTAAAATCTAGTTGGATTGTTTTCAGATGCCCAGGACTCATAAAATAACACTTGGTATGTTTGTATGCATGTGTGGATTGGGGGTAGGAGAAGTATTAATTTAAAAAAACTAAGTCATCTTAACCCACATATTTTCCCTTTGAGTTGCTTTAATGCCTATTTACAGATATACATGGAATCATAAGATTTATGTATTCAGAGTTCTTTTACCAATTTATCAACCCAAAAAAGTGGAAAGAGAATAAGTAATACTGTAATCAGATTACATGTTTTAATTCCTGCAGAAAAGACTTTACTGAGAAGATGGAGAATAGTAGTCAGTATATCTCGGTGATGCCCTTAGCTTCTTCACTATAAAGAAGTCATTTAGTATAGTACCAGAGGTATCAAAGATGAGAGGTACTTTTATAAGTTAGCATCCTTATTTACCTCATTTATAATATATTTGTGCTCTCTAACTTTGAGCATATTAAAAATCTTTAAAATGAATTCCCTGCTGTCAAACTGTTACATACCCAAACATTAAATTACCTAGTTGTATTTTTTCTTTTTCAGATTAACACATGCTTACATTTTCTTTTTTACCTCCATGTGTTAATCCATTCTCCCTCGTTCTGAAAATATTAGGTCACCAAAAAGGAGACGATCTCGATCTGGTTCTAGATCTCGAAGGTCTCGTCATCGACGTTCTCGATCTCGGTCCAGAGATAGACGCCGACATTCTCCTAGATCTCGATCCCAAGAAAGAAGGGATCGGGAAAAAGATAGAGAGCGCCGACAAAAAGGCCTTCCTCAAATCAAACCAGAAACTGCTAGTGGTACGTGAACGTTTATATTCAAATTTCCTGCATTTTTTTTCATGTCATGAGTTTAAAAATGTTTTATAACTGTTAGCAAAATACCACTTTATGAGGTCTTACTCGTTTGTGCTTTGGCATATACCCTTGGATTTGCTTTTGTACATTAAGCCAGCTGTAAAGCAGCAATGAGGAGTGAACCAAACTAACAATGAGGAAGTGTGTCTTGAATCGAATGTATGAAATAGAGTCATTAACTAGTTCTCCTACACGTGGTGGAAAGGTGGGGTTTTTTTCCCCCTAGAATAACTAGTGCCCTCTTTTATAAAGATTTATGATTTATAGAATGTATTAGCTTACATTATCTCCTGAATTTCATGATGTGTTTAGAATATGTTTAATAAGGTGTGCTAGACATATTCTTGATACAACTCTGTAGCTATTAATGAAATTTTAATTTATAGTATAACTAGGGTATGTATAAAACTTCTGACTCTGCAAGGCTCATTACCGAGGACACAACATGAAACAAAAATCATATACACTCGACAGTTGGAAAGAAACAGCTACGTGCAGTGAACAAAAGCACTGAATTGGTTGGTGATCAAGATAGTTAGGATCAAATCTTAGCTATTGTGTTCACTTGCCAAGGGCGATCTTGGGCAAAATACTGCTTCTCTGGCCCTAGTTTACATAGATGAAATCTTCAGATGTGTCTTCAAAAAGACCAATTTTTTTTTACCAACTCATAGGTGTACCTTTCACTATCCTGGTTCCATTTCTGGAAGTACTACCACAATTTTCTAGAATTTTTTAAATGTATATGGGGTTTTCTGCTTAAACTTGTGGTATCATAATGTAACTCATGCATATCTTCTTTAATGATTTTTTTCATGTAAAGTACAGTGCTGTTCTTTATCGAATGTGTATATTTTTATGATTATAATTTTATTTTAAGTTTGTAGTACTACACTCTGGGTGGGACAGCTGGACAAAAGGACTACTCAGCAGGATGTTGCCAGTCTCTTAGAAGAGTTTGGTCCAATTGAATCAATTAATGTGAGTATTTATTAAATCACTTAATGACAGTAGATAGATGTGATTAATGTTACTCTATGAAATTAAGGACTTGAAACCTAAGTTAAAATTTTCCCAGGTTTGTAGAAGACGTGGCTGGCGTTCAGGTGTTCTGAGTTCATGCTTAGCATTTAACTACATTTCTTGGATCACCAAGTTTAATCTAAAACCTCTTTCTAAAAAGGTTTTCTAAAAAAGTCTTTATATAACAAAGCTTGGGGAACTGTAGATTTGTCGATAATTGGAAGTTGAGACCAAACTGGAACAACCAATTTAACAAATTAATTTAATCTGCAGTTATAGAACTCTGGCTCTGGAGGGTGCAGGGGGTTTGAGTTGGGCTTGTTGGAACTGATTACTTAGTATTATATCTTGTTGCTTTTTTATTTTGTTGTTACTATATTTTGTAATATTAAAATCTTTTGGAGCAGATGATTCCTCCCAGAGGTTGTGCCTATATTGTTATGGTTCATAGGCAAGATGCTAACCGTGCCCTGCAGAAACTGAGCCGAGGAAACTATAAAGTGAACCAGAAATCCATAAAGGTACTGTTTTATAGTTTATAATTCATTTCTTTTAAAACTTAATATATAATATTATGTGACTTTTTTAAAAAAAACTGTAATTATGGACACTGGGGCATTATATGTGCATCTTTTTTAAAAGCGGTTATCTCCGAAGAGTTAAAATTTTAAATGTTAGGTGCATGGTAGAATTTTGTCTTTTTTTTTTAAAGGTAGGTAAGTTCATCAAGGTATTTACTTGGCGCTTTAAATATAATGTCATTTTGTAAAATATTTTGTCATTCAGAAAATTTTGTATTTTTCACATTTTAAAGTTTGCCATCTCATCTTAGAACTATGAAAAATACTGAAGAAAAGATATAGGTACATGGGTATTCTTACTCTGAGGGGCCAGAGTCAGTGTTTCCTTATAAGATGTTATAATACCACGTTCTACCCTTGGATTGCACTGCAAAAGGATTTTGTCTGATGTTGAGTAATTCCGAGGTACCCAAGACGTTTAAAAGTGCTCCCCACTTTTTTATGCTGAGTTGTATAGGGAACTTCAGCCTGTCCCTGATAAACTTTTTCCTTTTCTCTTAAGTTTTATGCTGCCTGGGTTTGGGGGGTGGTAGGTGGTTGGAAGAGTGAGTAAGGAAGTGATTGCCAGATTTCCATCCTAGGAGAAACAAAGTGAGATGGTAGGGTAACCAGTTTCCTAGCACTGAATAAAGTTTTGAGTGAGATCCAGAGAAAGCCAGGCCGGATTGCTCCCTTGCTGACCAAGTCTGAGTGATTAGAATCGTGAGGAACAGTTAACTCTCAATTCATGACATTCTTCTCCTTTCCTTTCTTTTTATATTTTAACAAATGGTGAAATAGATTGCGTGGGCCTTAAACAAAGGAATAAAGGCAGATTATAAGCAGTATTGGGATGTAGAACTTGGTGTTACTTATATTCCGTGGGACAAAGTCAAGCCTGAAGAACTGGAGAGTTTTTGTGAAGGAGGAATGTTGGACAGTGATACACTTAATCCAGGTAAAGGCAGTGTTTAATTTTTTTAAAAAAATTCATCTGTTTCCTTGGTAGTGCTATGACAAATGTTTATTCTTTGCCTTAGGATCTGATTTTTGAGATTTTTCAAATACCCACTATGTGGGTGCCAGTCTCTCCATTATAATAAACTGAGGAAACAACAGTGAATAAGACAAATGTGGTCCTTGCTGTTATGCAACTTACATTTAGTGGGAGAGATGCAGACACAAATAATTACTGATTATGGGCTTAATTATTAATTATAATATTAAATGGATCTTAGGTAGAATTTTTCACTGTAAAAACCTAACAGATCAAATGAGTCTCAAACTGAACATTGTTAGTAAAATCCACTGCTTCATAGTAATTTCTTTGAAAATGTTTAAATGTCCAGAGAAGCCATCAAAAGTAAACGTGTAAGACAAGGAGGTGCAGTTATTTGTAGGCTGAATATTAAAAATGCCAGGTTGATAGTGGAATTGCATTGGGAAAAATGGCAGCTTGTGGGGGCATGACCTGAAGATTGATAGATAGCAAGACGAAAGGAGCACAGGGTGGCATGGCAAAGTACAGTAAATACTTAAAGCATTAAAGAACTTCAATCAGGAGTGATGATTTGAAAAGCCAAAAGGCAGTGAAACAATGCTGGACTTTCCCCATACACCACCTCCTCCCTCCTTGGTGCGTAACGCCTTCGCTTAAGGATCAGACTAGGTTTCTGTTCAGGCAGACAGGTATTGAGGGTCTTCTATGTGCCAGGCATTCTGGGAGACTCTGGTCCAGGGTAAAAAGAATCCTGCTCCTCCCTCCCAGGGTCTTTAATCCAAACAATACACTGTTGTGGTTAAGAACAGAGACTTTAGAGCCAAATATGCCTGGGTTGAATCCCATCTCTGCCACTACTAGGTATGTGACTTTGGGCAAATTGTCTTTTGTTTTCACCTCTTGAGAAATGGGAATAGTAATAGTAGAACCTACTTATAGATGGTACTTGTAGATGGTTATGAGAATTAAATATATATATAGTTTAGAACTGTGCCTGGCACGTAAGTAAGTATTCTTTTCGTATGTTTGCTATTGTTAATTTAAATAATTAATGTTTATGAGATTAGCATAGGCATTTCTTTAATAATCAGAATGCTCTCTGCTTTGGGGTTTTTTTTTTTTTAATTTATTTTTGGCTGCGTTGGGTCTTCGTTGCTGAGCGCGGGCTTTTCTCTAGTTGTGGCGAGTGGGGGCTACTCTTCGTTGTGGTGCACGGGCTTCTCATTGCGGTGGCTTCTCGTTGCAGAGCACGGGCTCTAGGCACTCGGGCTTCAGTAGTTGTGGCTCACAGGCTCTAGAGCGCAGGCTCAGTAGTCGTGGTGCACAGGCATAGTTGCTCCGTGGCATGGGGGATCTTCCCGGACCAGGGCTAGAACCCACGTCCCCTGCATTGGCAGGTGGATTCCTAACCAATGCGCCACCAGGGAAGTCCTGCTTTCTGATTTTAATATCAACATTTTAAAAATCATTTCTGGGTTTAAAGTTATAAGCTGAAATGTAAGCTTTTGTTAAATTTCTTTAACTCTCATAGATTGGAAGGGAATTCCCAAAAAGCATGAAAATGAAGTTGCTCAAAATGGAGGGGCAGAAACATCACACACAGAACCAGTATCACCCATACCTAAGCCTTTACCTGTGCCTGTCCCTCCTATTCCTGTTCCTGCACCTATAACAGTACCACCTCCACAGGTAAGACTGTTTCGGGGCATTGTTTAAACTTTTAGAAAGATACCTTTCTAAATCTTACTATAGATGTATGTCTAGATTCATAGTCAAAGATATGAGTGCATATTAATTTTTTGTGTGTTGGTATGTCAGACCTATTATTTATAAATGCTTTTAAAAACCAGAATAAATTTCATATTGCCTTACATCTGTCGAGATTATTCAGTGTCTTACCTCATAACCTTTTTGACTTGAGATGTGATTGTCCTGTTACATGTTAAGAGCTAAGTAAGTAATGTTTTGGTAAAAATTATAAATACTTGACCCGTACTTTTATGTATAATCCACTAGATATTTCTTTTCTTTCAATACCTTCTTTCCTCAATTTCTCACATTAAAACTGAATCGCATAAATCTGAGCTATCACAAAACTGGGTTGCCTAGCTTCTTCATTTTTCGTAGTGTTAGGAGAAAATTACATGCTTTGATACATACTTAGCTGTGATATTTTATAAATGGAGTCCCCAAATTGGCAGTCTTTAGCTGACCTTTTGGATATGCCTTCCAGTGCAGGTTCTAAATAAGATTCAATGAATGTCAGCTCTCATTTAAAGAAACTTGACTAATCTCAAGATTGATTATACTTTTTTGTAACAATAGCTAACATATGTTGGGTATTTATTAAGTGCCAGGCGCTAGCACTTAATATTTATTCACTCTTTAATCCCCATAATTATGTGAGGTTGGCACTTTTCCATTTTACAGATGAGTAAACTGAGGTAGGTCTAGGGAGTGTAATGTAAGTAGCTTGCTCAAGGTCACAAAATGACCTGAAAGGGGGGCCAGGCACTTTGACCCTAAGGACCTGTGATCTTAATCACTGTGCAGATTACCAGGTAGCTTTTTCTTTTCTTTTCCTTTCTTTTTTTTTTTTTGGCGGTACGTGGGCCTCTCACTGTTGTGGCCTCTCCCGTTGCGGAGCACAGGCTCCGGACACGCAGGCTCAGCGGCCATGGCTCATAGGCCCAGCCGCTCCGTGGCATGTGGGATCTTCCCGGCCCGGGGCACGAACCTGTGTCCCCTGCATCAGCAGGCGGACTCTCAACCACTGCGCCACCAGGGAAGCCCCAGGTAGCTTTTTTTTAAGTTATATTTCTCAAACTTATTGACCTAACCATGAGACATTTTTTAACATATTAATATTCTAGCAGGACACCAATATAGGTGCTGGTGAATTACAGTGTGAATTTGCTGTCATAAAGTAGAGAGTAAATATGTGATTTCTCGGAATTCCTTGGTGGTCCAGTGGTTAAGATTCCATGCTTCCACTGCAGGGGGCACAGGTTTGATCCCTGGTCGGGGAACTAAGATCCCGCATGCCGCGCGGTACGGCCAAATAGAAAAAGGGAAAAATATGTGGTTTCTATTGTTTAGGTGCAGATTACCACCTGTTATCTAATAAGTGTATTCACATAATAAGCACAATTTAGAGATTCCTTTTTTCTTTTTCCAACAAGGTATTTTCTTTGTCTCTACACGCTGTGTGGGTGGGAGGGTGGCTAGATAATGTGCCTTCATTTTCCGTTTTCTTTTCTAGGTCCCACCACATCAGCCGGGACCTCCTGTAGTTGGTGCTCTCCAGCCACCCACTTTCACGCCTCCTTTGGGAATTCCCCCTCCAGGCTTTGGTCCTGGTGTTCCTCCTCCTCCACCTCCTCCACCATTTCTGCGCCCAGGATTCAACCCAATGCATTTACCACCAGGTACACTAAGTTATTTGAGAAGACATTCTTTTTTTAGAGCCTGAAATAAAGTAACACAACTTCAGTTGACATTATTTTTCTTATTCTAGGTTTTCTTCCTCCTGGACCCCCACCTCCTATAACTCCACCAGTATCCATTCCTCCTCCTCACACTCCACCAATAAACATCCCAAACTGTAAGCATGTTTTTCCTTTGTGTTCACTTGTCCTATTGGAATTGAGAGTAGGAGGGAGAATGGACCAGTAATAGGACCTATAGTATGGCAAAAGAATGTTGACCGGGAGATAATTATTTATTCAGCTTCACATGTTGATGTAATTATATTCCTTAGCTACTATCGCTGGTATAAATGAAGACACTACAAAAGACTTATCTATTGGAAATCCCATTCCAACAGTGGTGTCTGGGGCTAGAGGAAACGCCGAGTCTGGTGACAGTGTGAAAATGTATGGTTCTGCTGTGCCACCTGCTGCACCCACGAATCTGCCCACCCCTCCTGTAACCCAGCCTGTTTCACTTCTTGGTAAGTTAAGTTTTTTATCATTAGTTTTCTTTCCCCTGCCCAAGTTAGGCTTTTTATATAAACAGTGCTACTTTGGGTAAAATGCTCTCTGAGGCTATTTTTCTTTGAGGAAGATCTTTATCTTAAATATGTGTACTTTAGTCTTTACCAAGAATACGCTCAAGAGACAGCCTCAGAAATGAAATCATGTTTGTTTGTCTGTCTTGAATAAAAGTTTGGATTTGCACATCTTAATTTGGTATAGCAAAGTGATTAAACTAATCTCTATAAAAAGGAGTTGGTACATAGTCCATGATTAACAAAACCCCAGACATCGCAGCTTTATAAGAGAGAGCATTTCTTTAACAATGTGGATTTTTTCCCTGTCTGGATTAATTTTTATACATTTAAAATCCCTGGACTTTGGTAGCATTCTCCGTGGGCTAGCAAAGAAATTATCTTTGATACATTGCAAAAAAATGGCTTTGTTACCTGAGTGACAGTTGCACAGCCTGAGGCAATGCTTTTTCCACTGACCCCTCATTTTTCTCCTGTTCATCTGTTGTATTCTTTACCCACAACTCTACTTCTGTGATCCATGGAAGTGTGGTTTAGATTGTTTACATCTTTAGGAGGCCTTACCCTTGCTTGCTTGAATTGTAAGTGAATATGTCATATACTTGTTATAGTGACCATCCTATAACAATTAATAAATTGTTGTATTTGAAGTGGTATTGCCAAATATAATTAACACTTGATTCTCCTAATGGGTAGTTAATTCATCCTTAGTGTTAGAATATTCTAGTCCTGTGAGCCCATTGTATTTTTCAGAGGTATGTCTGTGCAAATGTTCGCTTTCATAATCTTAGGTTTTTTAAGGAAGAAGCATATTGGTTACTTGTGGGATGTAGGACTGTGGGACATTGGTTTGTGATGTAGGACTTTTACTTTTCACCTACAGCTTTCAGTACTGTTGGAAATTTTCACTTTGTTGCATGTACTACATTTATAATAAAAATCAGTTTGTTTTTAAATGGCATGCTGTCTTCTGCCCTCTCCAAGACTGAGTTTAGGCTGATAATAAACTTTGATTTTTATTTCTTTTAGTACACAGACTGGGTAATGGTAAAAGAGGATTTAGGGTTAAAATTTGTCACAAGTAATGTAGCGTAGTCATCATAATGATGGAAAATCATTTGTTCAGTGGTTGCTTAAGAGGTCTGTGCCCTAATGGAAGTCATAGTAGAAGGAACAGTGAACTAGGAGCCAGGAAACCTTAATATCTTTGGATCTCAGTTTTGTTATGATTCTCCCCCCCCCATATTTGTAATAAGATGGTTACACAAGAATCAAAGAATCTAAGTTGGGTAGAATTTTCTGATCAGCTTCTTTCCTCCACCCCACACGCATGCCCCTGATTGTGAATTCTCTTTGAAATGAAGTTTCATACTCTTGTATCCATGGGTATTAGGCCACCTGAGACTGTTTACAGAATTTCATGCATTTGTGGTTTTTTTTCTGGTCTTAGTAAATTCACTGAATGAATGAAAAGATTTCATCATCTCCAAGACTTTAATAACCGCTACTTTCGAACAACCTTTAAGAATAAATAACCCAGGGAGTTCCCTGGTGGCTTAGTGGTTAGGATTCTGGGCTTTCATTGCTGTGGCCTGGGTTCATTCCCTGGTCGGGAAACTGAGATCCCACAAGCCACACGGTGCAGCCCCCCCACCCCCCAAAAAAAGAATAAATTAACTGCCTTTTATTTAACATTTAGGTCTTGGAGACTCTGCCCTTTTATTTCTTATCACAACTGAAATGTATAATTTAAACTCTCAGCCAACATGTGAAACAAAATAAAACACAAATCAAAAGTTGGTGAGCATGAAAAATAAACTTAGTAAGCTAGTCACTGCTAGAAAAATAATTAAATTTCTTAGCATTTATCATTATCTAACATACCTGTTTGGATGTCCATCTCCTCCCACCCCCAAGAATGGAAGCTCCATGAGAGAGGAACATTATTATGTAAGTGCATGTATGGATGGTTTTCAGTGTAGGACTGTTTATACTTCACCTCTGATGATGATCTTTGTCTGTAACTTTTAAAACAAAATTTAGAAATTGAAGGCTGTTCCAGGTCTGGAAAGGTTAAAATATGACATAAAAATGAAAACTTTTGTTAAAATAGGCACTTTTAACTAAACTGCAGTAGTTTAGTTGAATCATGAGAAAGAGAGCCTTCCATTTTCCTTCAATTAGAAATCTTGAAAAGAATATCCCATGAATTTGACCTTTTATAGAAATGAGACTTTTTAATGCATATGCAAATAAAGGATTGTTAACCAAAAGACTAGTCACAATTCCATCATTTTGATAAAGGAATATAGTAATCACATGCAATGCTATAGCACTAAAGGATCAGTAAATAGGTTGAATATTGTTGATGTTAACCAAGTAACAGAATACTAGAACTAAGATGCTTTCAAGTTTTCTCTTGGTGCTCCAATGTTTTCTCTTATGATAATAAAAAGCAATGTTATACTATACAGAAAACTTTAAGCCTAGAAGGTGATACTAAACTTGTTTCTTCAACTGTGAGAAAAGGAATGAAATGTCACACCGGGGTGTTGTGATCATTCAGTTGGGCTAACATATATAAACAACTGACATGGGGCCTGCCACAGAGTAGGCACTCAGTGAATGGTGGGTGCTTATTACAGGTAAGGAATGTCATAGACGATATTTAGCATATCTAGAGAAGAGTACTGGAAATTCTAAAATTATATTACTTACTTGTGATTTATTTTAAACTGTTATAATTGTCAGCAGAGGAAGCAGCCTTTTTAGGAAAGTATGTATCTTGGCATGGTTGCCTCAGATATTTCATGGTATATTAGACCAGGAGATAAGTTCACATGTATTAAAGTTCCATCAGTTGGCTTACTGAGAAAATGTGTTAGTCATAGTGGCATTTCATTTAAATAGCACACTATGGTATCTGTATTCTTCCTATTAATGATACTCAAATTGTTTTCTTACAATGGAAACTAAATGTATCCTTGAGACTTAACTGAGTTCTTGGATCCTAATTTCTGAAATGTGGCAATTATATTTTTAAAGTAGAGGGGCCAAAAAATTTCAACAAACAGATCTTCCAAAATTCTGTTGTAGGCCCTGGTTACGAAGGAGGTGGTGGGGTGCTTTAAGGATGGTTTGGTGTGAAGAATTTTCTGAATGATCAGACTTAAGTGTGGATGTTAGTTTGGGAGTGATGACTACCTGTCTCCTGAATTGGGCTGAAGTAGCCCTCGCAGCCAGATTTGTAGGGAGCCACCTCCGTCTTTTAGAGATTTTGATTATTTTAGTAACTGATAATCTGAAAACATAAAACTATTCAATGCACAATAATAACTCATCACTTGATTTTAAAGGAATCTCTTCTTAGTACCCCACACTTCAAAATAGCTAGAGCAGTGGTCATTTCATAAAAGCTAAAGGAAACAGTTTACAGTTGTTGACCATTTAGGAGAGAAGGCATATTAAAGGTGATAGCAGTTCATCAGTACATTCTCTTTACTGTATAAGTGTATGTGTTTACTTTTCCAAACTTTTGTATAACATGTATCTCTAATACAATGTACAGCATATTTTTATTTAAGATTTCATTGTAAATGTGAAATTTGGGTTACTTTGGTGTTCCAAACAATAAAAAAATACACAAAAAAATGTTTGTTTGTGTTACATATCTCTGTTGTGTTACCAGCATATCCATAATATCTTTTCAAGGAAAAATTAAGCTAAATCGGATTCATTCCTATTGTGGAAAATTAAAGTCTCTTCTCTTGCCAGATACATTTACTCATTTATTATTATTATACAGAGATTCTCTACAGTTTTGTCACACTGCTATAGATGATGGTAAAATTTATAAATAAGAATTGCATATGTGTAAAATTGCTTCTTATTGATAATATTTGTTGCCAAATATTTAAAGCAAAAGCCACAGATTGGTAGCCTACAGGCTGACTTGCTAGGCAGTAGTATGATGTATAGTTTGTACTTGATTTTCACACATCCTTGCCTGGCCTCGATAGGCATTTGATGTTCCAAACTTTGGACACTTCAAGAATTATGTAGACAGAATTGGTTTGTGAATTAAACAGGCGTGTTTGCTTTTATGCAGTAGCTATCTATGATCCTTAAGACTGCCTTTAAGATGAATAATTTTACTATCAAGTTCTGTAATTCCATTTGACTCTTGAACAACACGGTGATTAGGGGCGCCAACTCCCATGCAGTAAAAACTCCACACATAACTTTATAGTTGGCCCTCCATATCTGAGGTCCCACATCTGCAGGTTCAACCAGCTACGGATGGTGTAGTACATATTTACTGGAAAAAAAAAAATCTGTGTATAAGTGGGTCCGTACAGTTCAAACCTGTTATTCAAGGGTCAACTGTACTTTAAAATTGATATTTGACTTGTGATTTCACTTAGCTTTAGATTTTTCTGCCTAGAATTTTGATACTTTTATAATTAGTAATTTTTAACACTATAAATTAGAACATTAGAGCACCAATCTACTAGTGTGAATAACATTCAAAGGAAACCTGAAGAAAATTCTCAGAAGTTTTTTTTAATGATAACACCTAATTTTTTAAACACTTTTTGCATTTTAATATTCTTCCGTATTGTAGACTTTGTTATAATATTGGTTATATTAAATTATAACCCAGAGGGGTCTACCAGATATTTATCTTTTAAAAGTGTTCTTTGAAAGCTTTAAAATATTTGAATTGGTACTCTAAATATTGCATTATATTATTCCACTATGTTTCTTTTCCCAAATACTCATCACAGTGCCATCAACTTTGTATATAACATTGTTCAATGAATGTTTTAATAGTGATCGATCCACAGCAGATATTTACCTTGGATGTGAATTTATGCATGAATACACACTATATTTTCTCAGAAGGCGAAGCATTTCAAACAAAACATGGAGGTCTTGCACGAAAACTTAAAAGCTGCTTATATTGTCTCCATCTCTCTCTGCACTTCTAGGCTGCAGAACTCCAGCCTAAAGAATCTC